TGTGGAGTGTCCTCCTTTCGGAGGCACTAAATATGGTAACCCTATCCAACAGGCAAATAGTTCAGGTCTCTTTTCAGGCCAGAGTTCTTGAAAGAGCAAATCCATAATTTTTTAGCTTCTTTTCAAAACTGAGTCAATTCAAAAAAAAATATGGTAAGATTTTAGGGTAAGTTTGTTGTGTGTAATACATATCCATCCCACACTACGCTCACTAAGTCAGCAGGTAAAATTAGACATAAACTTAGTGCTGCTAAAGAACAATAAAACGATAGAAAAAGTTGAAAGAAGTGACTGTAAATTAGCAGGCATGATCTTCAGAAAATTGATACAAAATGGAAACAAAATAATATAGGTCCATTACTAGATAGGTATGTTAAAATTATCAGGAATGCTGCAGAAAAGGCAGAAGTGTTCAATAGCTATATTCTCTACTTGGGAAGAAACTGGGTGTTGTCTTTGTGACTTACAGTGGAAAATTAAATACTTCTTATTCCAACAGTAACTGGGAAGGATATTAAACAACTTCCAAAGTTAAACCTCTTTTAATCTGCAGGACTGGATAACATACACTAAGAGTTTTTAAAGAATTGGCTAAGCAGCTCTCTAAGCCATTAAGTGAACTGAATATTTAATTCACTGGGTGTTTAAGAAATCTGGAAGTACAATACTGGGGAAGTGCCAGAGGAAAAAGCTAATGAGCCAGTATTTAAAAAGGGATGTTCTGGATAGGCCATTTGCTTAACATCTATCCTAGGCAAAAGCATGGAAAGGCTAATGGGGGGTGCAATAAGTAAAGAATTAAAGGCTGGTAGTATAATTCATTCCAGTTTGCATGGTTTTATGGAAAATAGGCCTGGTCAAACTTGATACTGTTTTTGATGCCGTAAGAAGTTTGGTTGACAAAGGTAACTGACATAATATACTTAGACTTATGTAAGCATTGTCTTAATACCTTATGTCATTTAAAAATTAGCATTATATGAAATTGATATGATACATAGCTAGATTTTTAAATCCATTAACTAACTGTTAGGTCTGCAAAAGTAATTGTAAATGGGGAATCATCATCCACAGGGTGTGTTTCTGGTATGCTCTCATAAGGATCATTCTTGACCCAATGCTATTCAATACTTTAATTAATGATCTGGAAGAAGATGTAAAATCATTGCTTGTAAAGTTTGCAAAGAACATACTGATGGAAGTCACCACCTAATGTGAGCTCCCAGTGCAATGTGGTGACTAAAAGAGCAAATGAAATCCTTGTTTGTATAAGATGGGGAATATTGAGTAGAAATAGGGAGTTGTTATTGCCATTATATATAGCATCAGTGAGACTGTTTTGGGACTTCAGAAAGGATGTTGACAAACCAGAAGGGTTAGAAAAGAGCCACAAGAATGATTCAACATCTAAAAAAACCTGCCTTACCGTGAAAGACTAAATAAGCTCCATCTGTTTGGTTCTTTCTGAGAAAGTTGAGAGAACCTGATCAGTGTAGAAGTACCTAAATGGGAATAAGATTGCTGATGGTAGATTCATAATTGTTTGTTTCTAAAGACCAGAAGGCACTATTAAACCATCTAGTCTGATGACCTATATAACACAGGCCATGGAATTTAATCCAGTTACTCCTGTATTAAGATCAATAATTTGTATTTGATTAAAGTATATCTTCCAGAGAGAAATCCAATCCTGATTTTAAGACTTCATGAAATGGAGAATTTATTGTTTCCCATGGTATTTTGTTCCAATAGTTAATTACTCACACTGATAAAATGATGTGCCTTATTTCTATTTGTCTGGCTTCAGCTTCCAAATATTTATTCTTGTTATGCCTTTATCTTCTACAATAGAGAGCCCTTAAGTGCCTGGTGGTGTCTTCCTGTGAAGGTACTTGTACACCATAATCAAGTCGCTTCTTGATCTTTTTAGATATGCTAAACAGAGCTCACTGTAAGGCATTTTTCCTGCCCTCAAATATTTTTATGGATCTTGTCTGCACCTTTTCCAATTTTTAATGCCCTTTTTTTTGAAAATGTGGACACCAGAACTAGCTGCAGTATTTCCATATCAATCTCACCAATGCCATATACAGACATAAAATCATCTCCATGCTTACTCCTCCTCTGTTTATACCTCCAGGGATTGCATTAGCCCTTTTTGCTACAGCATCACATTGGGAGCTTTTGTTTGTCTACTATAACTCCTAAATCCTTTTGAGAATCACTGTTTTTTGGAATACAGTCCTCCATTCTGTAGGTATGATGTGTATTTGTTATTAGATGTATGACCTTATGTTTGGCTGTATTAAAATGTATTTTGCTGAATTGGGTCCAGTTTATAAAGTGATTCAGGTCTCTGTGTATGACAATCCTGATTACTTCATTATGTACTTCTCTGCCAGTCTTCCACAAATTTTATTAGCAATGTTTTTATATTTATTTCCAGATCATTGATAAAAATACCAAACAGCATTGGGCCTAGCACGGATCCCCGCAGAACTCCACTAGAAATAGCCCCTTTCAATGATGATTTCCCATTGACAACTGCTTTTTGAGATCTGTCAGCCACTACTTAATTCACTCAGTGTGTGGTTTGATACTGTATAGTGCTATTTTTAATCAGAATGTTGTGTGGTAGTAAATTAGGTATTTAACATCTATGCAGTTACCTTTATTAATCAAACTTGTAATCTCATCATAAAATGAAATCAGGTTTGACATGACTTTTTCCATAAAGCCATGTTGATTATATTCCCTTCCAGAGGGCTCATTAAGTTAGCAAAACGTAAGAGCCAATGCCTGAAAGCTGAAGCTGTCATACTCAGACTAGAAATAAGGCAGAATTTTTTAACAATTAGAGTAATTAACTATTGGAACAAATTGCCATAGGGATATGGTGGGTTCTCCATCAAGTTGAAGTTTTTTAAATCAAGATTAGACTTTTTTAAAACATATGAGCTAATTCAACAAGAAGTTATGGACTTGATGTAGGAATTACTGAGCAAAATTCTATGGCCTGTTTTGACCAGGAGATCAGACTAGGTGATCATAATGTTCCCTTTTTTTGCCTTAAAAATGTACAAAGAAAAATATTTTCCCCAGAAGATGAATCAAGTTTATAGTATTCATAGTTCACATAGCATGGCTGGGTCTACCTGCTCTCAGAACACGGCTTTCCTCTACAAGAACTATGAAAGAAAATGTCAATGACCTTGCCAGCAGGGTTTACTGGTTTTCAACCTGTGGTCCATGGACCTGCAGACTGTCTAAGGGGTCTGCGAAAGATTGTTACCACCATAGAACAGTAGTTTTCAATCTGTGGTCCACAGACACCTGGGGGTCCACAGACTAAGGTTTCCAAAGGGGTCCATGTCTCCACTTGAATTTTTTTAGGGGTCCACAAATGAGAAAAGATTGAAGACCACTGCACTAGAGGAGGACATAGTTGCATGCACTTGTGCCGGTCTTATGTCATCCAGCAGTGAGCCATGGTGGAAATAAGCTTAAGAAACATCTTTGATTTGACTGACAGGTACCTGCATGGACCAGAGCTGGTTAACGGTTTCCAAATGGACTCCCTCCGCTCCAAGCATTCTTGATGTCCACCCTGACGTTTTCCATGATGAGGGAAAACTGCTCCCTGTGCTGCGGATAGAGTGGAAGGTGGCTACTGATGGTAAGTGATCGCTTAACATAGACATGAAAGGGAAGGTGCTTAGAGAGATTATAGAATCTCTGAAAGAGTGATGGAACTATAGTGTTTGCAGTCATTCACTGGTTCAGCTGTGGAAGTTGAGCTTTGAGATTGGTTTTGGACAGCTTGTCTACTGGGTCAAAGGACATGAAATGAGTAAAAGTTAGTGCAGTTGTCCGTCCCTCATTACTTAATCTGCAACAGAGATTAAATGCTGCTATTAGAATGGAATGGCAGCACCTAATGTGGAAAAAATAAAGCACAATAGTGGTGCTTAACTTTACCAAGATGAGGGTGGGCTCCCAGTGCAGTCGGTGTCAGATAAAGACCTGCAGTCCAAAGCCCTAAACTGGGATCGCTATAGTCTGATTTTTTTTAAACAGGTTTATATTTCATAGATACTTTGAAAATCTCAACTACAGTACTGAGTCAGGTTTACTCTAAACTGATCCTGAATATGCAGATGGATCTTACAAACTAGGTTTACAAATGTGCACAGACTGATGGCAAGAGGAACTAGCTAGAAAACATTCCATTTACTAGAAGCTAAGAATTGTTTAAGGGTTGAAGAACTCATAATAGTAAAAAGATGTGTCTACAAAACCAAAAGTTGGGGAAGGCCTAATGGAAAGGAGAAGAGAGGGAAAAGTAGACTTGTATTTACTCTGCCTTGACCGACTCCTAACCTGTACTATTCATAGCTTTATATTCCTTCTTGTACTATGAATAGTACAGGTTAGGAGTCGGTCCAGGCAGAATAAATGTCACTTTTGTGCAGCTGTCTTGAATCCAGTGCAAGTTTCTTCCATTTGGGATAATCAAATCCAGTTTTTGTAATCCAGACTTCCTACATGCATGTGTGTCTTGGTTCTCACCAGAGGCTCTGTAGCTGGGTGTCTTGTGAAATTCATGCTAGTGACAATAAGGGTTGGTGTGTGGAAACATTGCAGGCTTTGCCTTCCAGCTTTCTCCCTTCACTCTTCAAACATAGTTGATTTTCACAGACTTGGGAAATCCCCTTTGTACACACTAGTCAGCCTAAACTGACCGTTGCTGGAGTCAGGATGAACAATACTAGGTGTCTGCTGAGTCAAGGGTGCACTCCAGAGTTGTCTGAGCACTGGTCTAAACACATTTTTGTACCACTATAACTACATCAGTTTATCAGAGGGGTAGCCGTATTAGTCTGTATCCACAAAAACAAAAGAAACATTTTTTTAAATCAGTTTAAAAACAGATATAGTTAGAGGGTTGTACCATTTTAGTTTGGATGCAGGTATAAATATGCTTATATTAGTATAACTTATTTCTATACATTTACAGAAATAAGCTATTCTAATACAAGTACCTTTTATAACTGGTCCCCCCCACCACACACACACTAGAGGGTGGTACTGCTTTAACTATGCTTGTTTTAAAATGATAGTTATAATGGTACAAAAACTGCGTAGTCCTGCTCTGAGATGCAAGGCTGGAGGACTGGGGGGGACTGGTTATAGCACTGAGATACTCTGAGGTGAAGTTGGAGGGTTGGATTTATCTATTAGACGTACTTTCTGCTGCCTGTTCATGCAGCTCAAGTGCATTTTGCATTATGAATAAAATGGGACTTCTCAGACTCTATCATGACCCCCCACATTCACCTACTTGCAGCCAGTCTCCTTAAGATCCCTCTCCAGAATCTTTTGTGCCAGTTCCCATGGCACTTCATTTAAGTGCCCCACAAACTGGTGCAGCAGTTTATGGGCTGCTCTTGTCATGTGAAGGTAGCTGACAGCAAGGGACTTAATAAATCAGATGGGATAAAGTGAATGGGAGTGGACCTGTGACATATCCCAGGAATGCTGGCAATCTCTGGGGGTGGGGTGAGGTAAAATCTTTAGATTTGGAATTACTAGAACAAAACTTTAACCTCTCCCCTTCACTCTCCCCCCTCAGCAAGCATTCAGTATCTCCAGGGAGTGGAGCTGGCTGTGCTACAACTGAACAATAATCAACAAATCTGTGCCCAGTTTGACTTTCAGAACAATCTGCCACTTCAGGTCCGTCCGGATGGAGGCCGGGTGAGTAAAGAGGGCTCTGACAAATGGTTTTCTAACCCACAGCTTTGTTTCCTCTGTACTCAGTCAAATAGCAAAGCTTCTCCATGAATAGCACAGAATGCTTAAACAGGAAGGATGGCCTTGTAATTAAACCAGTGAACTTGGGACTCAGGAAGTCTGGATTCAATTTCCAGCTCCCCCCTCGACTTCCTCTGTGTCCTGGGGCAAATCAGGTATTCTGTGCCTCAGTTCCCTGTCTGTAAAATGGGGACAATGTCAGTGCTCCCTTTTCCCACCACTTCTGTCCTTTGGATTGTACCTGCCCTCCTGGGCAACTGGGACTATGTATTACTAAGGGCTAGTCTACACTGGCAATGCTAAAGCTTCAGTGCAGCACTGGGAGAGAGCTGGCGCAATGTTCTAAAAACCCACCTCCATGAGGGGTGTAGCTACCAGCGCTGATACACTAGCTCCCAGCGCGGATGCACTGTCTACACTGGCAATTTACAGCGCTGAAACTTGCTGTGCTCAGGGGGGTGTGTTTTCACACCCCTGAGTGAGAAAGTTGCAGTGCTGTAAATTGCCAGTGTAGACAAGCCCTGTGTGTGTACATTGTCTAGCAGTGGAGCTTCTGGATGCTACTGTAATACAAATAATCTTGGCAATCATTGCTTCATCTATGGTAGTCATGGCATTTATAGCATAATTTTAATTCACTCTTTCCTTATGCCCGAAATCTTTTTTTTTACCACACCATGGAAGAAAGCACTGGGATAAGAGGGGTCAAAGTCTTTCCCCACCCCTTCTCATTCATTAAGGTCCTTATTCAGAGAGAGGCTGAGTACCCACAATTTCTACTGAAGACAATAGTATTTGCAGGTGCACAGTACCTCTTAGGATCAAGCCTAAGCATGCTGTGGAGAAAAACTCTGGCCTACAGGAGCATAGTGACCATCTCCAGAATTTTGACATCTTCACTAACGTAAAGAGCGTTGTGGGTAATGATATAGAAGTGAGAAACACCAAGGCAAAGCAATTAGCTATCCATATAAATATGTACACTTACAGAGCACTGCAGAATTTATTCTGTCTTGCACAATTTCACTCATACAAATTGTATTGAAGGGTATAAATACTTTTTTCCCCTTAGCTTCAACCTGGAACATAACTAAAATCTGTCCAGACAATTAAGTGATTTCTGGGTTGTGATTCCCCCATTTCAGCCCAGAATTTCCATATAGTGATTTAGACCTCCCCAAAAGTAGCCTTACCCTTCCCATTCTAAACAGGCACATGGAGATGGGGCCAGGGGAATGCTGGACAGGTTTAATTAGCCTGGAGTCCATGTCTCACCCTAGCTGCCAAAAGAGATGAAGAATGGGGGGACAGAACAGGGTCAGCTATTAATTTCAGTGCCTTGACAAATCAGTTGTCTGGATAAAGACCCTATCCTCATCCTCTGTTTCAGTGGAACTTCACTTTCAACCGCTTTGAGGTGGAGCCTGGCCAGATGTACCAAGTGACTGTCCATCATCTGCCCAAACTGAGCACCAGTGGAGACCACAACTGCAAATCCACATCTTACACGGTGCCTGGTAAGGGGTCCTCTGATGCTTTTTACTAAGCCTTCAGCTGGAAACATCAGTTTGCCAGTACTGAGAATAGGATTGTTTCGAAGCCAAACTGGAATATGACTCATGAACAAGCATAGTTAGGGAGCCAGATTGCTGAAAGAATTGTCAGACCTGCTCTCTTCTCCTACTTCAAAAAAGTAAACGTTCAGTCCATGCTTTCACAGTGCTACTGTGGTTCCTCCGCAAAGTACGTACACCAGGTCCTGTGCTGCAGCACACCATACCCTTAACATCCAGGCTTTCAGAAGCCTATGTAGTTAGTGTCCCAAGCCCCAAAAATATAAGGCTCTGCTTGGAGAGTAGAGTGCAGAGAATAAACTTTTCCATCCGCAGGAGCCACTGTTACCTAGAGTGAGACGTGCAAAAGCCATTATGTGTTCTGTGAAAAGCTGAGCTGAAATTCTGTGGTCCAGTTCCTGGATTTTGCAGGGTTCCAATGTGGTAAACTGGAAATTCTGCAGCAGTTTCAGAAGTTTTTTTTTTTTAAATTGAGATTCAGAATTAAATATGAAAAATAGCCAAAACAGTAGCCAGTCTGGGCGACCGTATGGATTCTGGAGCAAATGCATTTGTTGGGTGTTTCTGCTAAAATGCTCAGCAGTGAAATAAGTGGAAGTGACTCCTGTTGAGGTGAATGAGGTAGCTCACACCTGTGAGCTAATCTTTCAGGCTCTCTGCAAACTCAGAAACAGCACTGCATGCGTTTCGCTTTGTCAGTTATCTTGACAACCAGGAGGGCTAAAAACATAAGCCAAAATTTTCAAACAGAATGCCTAAAATTAGGCTTCTAAAATCATATTTAGGGAAAGATTTTCAAAGGCAAAATTGGAGATAGGCAGTCAACTCCTGGTGACTCAGTAGGGTGAGGTACCGAACAGCCCTTTGTGCCTTTGAAAATTTCCCCCTAAAAAGATTTTTCACAGGAACTCCACTGACTACACTGGCCACTTTTTATTTAGGCTCCTAAAATTTGATTTAGGAGCCTAACTAAAGCACCGAGGCTTGAAAATTTGCCCACAATTTATTTTAATAGGAGTTTAAATTCTGAACACAGTTCTGCTGCAAAGGATGAATTTGGTAGTGAATCTCTAGGTGTGAAATCACGAAACTCACAGGACCCTGAGTGTACAGTTGGGAAAGCAGGGTAGGCTCTAGGTTTTCAGATTTATACTTGACTCTTACCAGTTGAAAATAGTGCCTCTTACTTCCGTCCTCCTTTGTTCCCATAAATCTTATATTGTGAGGTGGAACTGAGCAGCAGAGCTCCCTGTTGATTGGGGCTTGGCTTATGATTTGTGGGACCCCAAAATGAAAGTCAGAGGTTCAGGTTATGAGGAGTTTTCCCTCTGCTGGAGGATAGAGTAGGCAGTGAGTTCTTCCTTCCTTTCTCCCTTCTCCCTCCTCCCTCCACTGGAAGAAGATCAGACTGGGTTGAGAGTTATAGAGCCCAAGTAGTCAGTTGGCTCGTAAATGTTTGAGGCTGGACCAGCCTGCTTGTTGATCTTCACAGACTCAACAATCCAATCTGCCAAGTCAAGCTCAGAGAGAAACAAGGTAACTGCAGAAGAATGTCAGTCAACAAGGGTATGCCAGCTAATGGAACCCTGGGGTAAACTCATTGGAGATGGTGGCAGGACATCTTTGGTGGAGGGGTCTGTGGCTGTGAACCTCTCTACTTCCCGAGATCAGTATAAAATCACAACTCACCTCTTTAGAGCTTAGTACACACCTCCCTCTTTGCACACACCTTCCCTCAGCAAAGGTTACAGAATAGTCCAGGGGTAGGCAACCTATGGTACGCATGCCGAAGGTGGCACACAAGCTGATTTTCAGTGGCACTCTCACTGCCCGGATCCTGGCCACTGGTCTGGGGGGACTCTGCATTTTAATTGAATTTTAAATGAAGCTTCTTGAACATTTTAAAAACCTTTATTTACTTTACATACAACAATAGTTTAGTTATATATTTTAGACTTATAGAAAGAGACCTTCTAAAAACGTTAAAATGTATTACTGGCACGCGAAACCTTAAATTAGAGTGAATAAATGAAGACTCAGCACACCTCTTCTGAAAGGTTGCCGACCCCTGGAATAGTCCTTTACCACTTGAAAGTTTTGTCCTGGAATGATCCATAAAAAATGACCTGAGTAGAGAAGATGGTCCACACTTGGACAGCAGTGATATACTGCTTTTAATTATTGTGGTTAGTGACTAACAACTTTGGTGATGGCTGCACTGAAACAAAGGGCTCCATCCTTCTAAAGTAGACTAAAAATGAGAAAATGTGTGTTCAGCACTCTGAATTTAAGTGTAACATTTCTGTGTCAAGACCTAACACACTGTCTTTTTGCTGCAGATTGCTGGGACCCTGTGATGAAAAGAACCATGCCATGTATGAAGATCGGTAAAGTGGGTCTGTCTCAGTCTGTTAGAGCTGTGGGAGTTGAAAGGTGGCCCATTTTGTAATTCTGGGATATTTTACACTACTTGCAGGCAGCCTCTGGGAGCCCAGTATTCATGGCAAAAGTCTAGATGACAATTCTCTGTTGGTGAGTTTTAACCCAGGGATGGAGTCAGCCCAATACCGGATCCATGTGACCAGTTTCACAGATGATGAAAAGCAATGTAGAGAGACCACACATGATATTTATGAGGTAACCATCTTCCCTCTCACACTTCTGCTGCCACAAACCAAAACTGAAACCCCTTTTCCACATTCGCTCAACAATCGGCATGAGCCCCAATCCAGAGAGAGCTCATGAATACAACTGAGCAGTTATTTCCTAAGAACTATTTTTGTGAATTTATTTTGAATTTGCTTGGGGAATTTTACTCCTAGGGGGCTGGGGAGTGAAGGATCAAGTTTCAGAGAAGAGCTACAAGAAAAATTAAAGGATTAGAAAATATGCCTTATATTGAGGGACTCAAGTAGCTCAACCTGTTCAGTTTAGCAAACGAGATTGAGGGGTAATTTGATCAGTCTAGAAGTACCTACCTGGGGAATAAAAAATTCACAGAGGTCTTCAGTTTAGCAGACACAGATCCAATGGTTGGAAGTTGAGGCTAGACAAGTGCAAACTAGAAAGAAGTTGCACACTTTTAACAATGAGGGTAATTAACCACTGGAACAATTTACCCAGGCTTGTGGTGGATTTTCCATCACTGGCAGTTAATTCAATCAAAGTTGTATGTTTTTTCTAACTGATATGCTTTAGTTCAAATGGGAATTAATTCAGAGAAGTTCTGTTGCCTGTGTTACACAGAAGAGCAGACTAAATGATCAGTAGTCCTTTCTGGCCTTATAATCTATGAAGTTTGACTCTCAAAAGAAGAACTCCAAATACCAGTGTTAGGGTCTGCCCATCCTGAGGAACTTGTGGAAAAAAACTCCTGAAAATTGACACCATTTCCCATCCCCACGGCAAGGGTTTAGCTAGCAATTGTGTATGTGTGGTCTGTCCCATTCCTTCCATTTCCAGCATCCCATTTACTCTGTGTATTGATGCATACTAGGATCACTAATGTGGCACGTACAGCTAAAAATATCTGGCAGAGGTATAAGGCCCTGCCAGTTGTCATAAGTAGGGCTCCGTGTTTGTCACAGAGGTCATGGAAGTCACGGATTCCATGATGTCCTATGACCTCCATGACTTCTGCAGCAGTCGGTGTAGCTGACCTAGAGCCACCCAACCAGCTGGCCCTGGAGACAGCGACATTGGCTGTTGCTAGAACGGCTCTGCAGCCAGATGCTTGGGTGGTCTCTCAGGCAGCCGCACCAGCCGCAGCTCTGGTAGCCCCGGGGCTCCCTCCCCCCGGCGGCGGCCGGAGCAGCAGTGGGCCCCCTGGGGTGCTCTACCCCTTGGCAGGGGCCTGAGTCATAGCAGGCCACCGGCTTTTCCCTCCACAGCGTCCCCCGCTCCAAGATTCAATCATTACTATTTTTAATAAAAGTCATGGACAGGGACAGGTCACGGGCAAAAAACAAAAAATCACGGCCCCATGACCTGTCCATGACTTTTACTAAAAATACTCATGATTGAATCTTAGCCTTAGTCACAAGGAATCTTGTCCCTGAGGATATCAGTTGTATTCCATAGTCCATAGATGTCAATCACTTGCCTGGGCAAAACTTTTTGATTAAACATTTTTTGGTAAAAAATGAAAACTTGGAGATACCAAAACATTTTGAAAATTTGTCAATTTTGAATTGTTTCAGGTATTAAAAAAAAAAAAACAGAAGTCCAAAAAATCAAAACATTTTGTTTTGACACTTTCTAAACAAAATTCTTTGAGTTTTTTGTTCAAAATTAGTTTATTTTGAAACGTCCTTTAATTTTATTTTAAAATAAACATTAAAAATGCTCAAATTAAAATAAAATGTTTTGTTTGACTTGAAACCATTTTTTTTCTTTTTTTCAGAATTGCGAGCGAACCAAAAAGTCTGTTAGCCCATCTCTACTTAATACATGTATTCAATTAAGGGAGTATTATAACTAAGGCTAAGATTTTTGTCTCAGATATTTTTAGTAAAAATCAGGGACAGGTCACGGGCAATAAAGAAAAATTCATGGAAGCCCGTGACCTGTTCTTGACTTTTGCTAAAAAATATCCATGACAAAATGGGAAGGGGCTGGGCAGATGCCGGGTGGCTGAGAGTTCCAGGGCAACCCCCAACTGCGGCCGGAGAGCTGCAGGGATCCCCCCTGCCCACAGCAGCTGGGAGCTTGGGAACACTGCTTCCTCAGGTGGCAGGGTACCTCACTGTGGGACCCTGCCGCTCCCAGCCAACAGGGCTGAATTCATAGATTCTGTGACCTCCGTGACTAAATCGGAGCCTTAATTATAACATGTCCCACTGCTTGTTGCTGTGGGACCCTCACTATATTATTCTTCTGTAGGGCTGCTCTCAGCTCCTATTAAAGTCTATTATAAACTCTCCCTGTGCCTAGCACCGTAACATCTTGTGACCCACATACTCCCACTGTTCTCATCCTCATTTTCCCTCCCTTCTTCAGAGCTTTATGCCATTTTCTTCTGCCTTTCCTTGTAATCCTTTTGTCTGTTAGACTCTGCAGAGTGGACAGCAGCACCGTGTGAATGTCACTGTCAAAATCAAGGAGAACTTAAAAGCCTGTTGCAGATACAAAGTACAGGTAGGATCTCAATTCTTTTCACTCAAGGGAGGAGAGGGAGAGTGGTGAACAATCTCTGAATATTAGGTTGTTTGTACAACACGGAGTTCTGTCCATGACTAATCCCCAGTTGCCCACGAAAAATTATGTACACTTCTGAAAGAACATCATACACATCGATGAATTCTCTGTAGACAGTGGTTCGTCCTTACATCATTTTCCCCATACTAATCACTCCTGAGAGAGACTGGGACTGACATAGCTGTAGGCACCTCTAATGGCCAGTTCTTGTCTGTGTATATGGAGTAGGCCCAGAATCTGTAATCCTTTAACATCTTGAAGAAAAAATGGGATTAAAATTTTTGTCTCGAAATTTGCAATGGGAGACAGGGTAAAGCAAGTTAGTTACTTCCAGTACTGTTTTCTGATTTCCTGATTTGTTTCAACTCCAGATTCAACCATTCTTTACCATGTGTGGCACCGACTGTTTGAGACATCCTGCTGTCATCCCATGTCCCTCAGTTGCTCCACGTGAGGACTCCTTTCCTCTACATTAGATTTGCATTATTTTATAGGTGATAGCTGAGCCTTGATCTAACTTTCTGTTCTATGTTTGATTCCTTTGCAGCTACATATCCTGCAGGTAAGACAATAACTCATTCCTATTCCTATTAAAATCTTCCTTTGTGGTTATTTTACTCTATATGTAGTATAGATAATAAACTAACTTTGCTTGCATGTGAGACAATACATGCAAGGTGTGGGATTATTCTAAGTAGTCACCCTGCTACACACAGGCTTTAGGTGTGTTCACTCCAGAATGCAGAAATCTAACAGAGCTGTCTTATTTTGTATTCAAAGAGAGAGCTTGTATACAATATATATAATGTGCATCTTTTCTTAAAGGAACTACTTGTTTAGAAGTATGTCTCTTAAAAACAAAGCAATGTGTGGCCAGGGGGAGCATGACTGACTTTCTGTTTTGCTCAGCAGTTTGAATTTACACAGTAAAAGCTGCATGTGACATACAAGGGCACAATGCAGGCTAATTAGCAGCTGTGTCATCCCTGACCAGCAACATTGGGTGCCTTACAATGCCTTGATGAAGAAGGTCACAGTCTTCCAGCATACAAGCCACACAGAGTGTCTGTGTGTAACTGCAGCCTACCAGCCACACTGGGGTTATACTCTGCCTCTCACTAGCCTTGGTTATTCTGCATGGTGACCCCAACAACACGCCAGTCTTAGATTTCCCCCCCCCCCAAGAAATGTATGTCCTGTACAGCCCAGCCCTCTCCTGGACAATATGTTATATTTAAAGTCCCTTATCTCTTTAAAGGAATAATATGCACACAACTTGCCACCCCAAATGGAGTTTCCGAGACAATTCAATTAAAACACACTGCATTAGATAAAACAATAAAACAAGTTGATTAACTACAAAGAGATTTTAAGTGAGCACAAGTAATTAGGCATAAGTCAAAATGGTTACAAGAAAAATAAAGACAAAATGCAACTGATGCCTAATTTAACAGACTAGGTTAGATTCAAAGCAGTTTTTTTCACCACATGCCTTCAGCAGTCTTACTGTTGACCAAACTTCTTGGGTCAAGGACCTCTTCTTCCCGAATCTAGCAAATGCTTCCTTTGTTGCTTCAGGTGCTGGGAATGGGCAAGGGGCATATTTGTCCGTCCTTTTTATAGTTTCAGTCTCCCACTTGAAAAACATTTCCAGCTGCATACCAGGAGACAAAAGGTGTATGGGGAAGGTTGTTCCCTGCTGCTTTTTCCTCACCTGTTGGAGATTCTTTTGTTTCTCTTCCTGCTTGATGTCTGTTTGCTTTGCTTAATATGCATTTAAGCAGCAAACAGGCCTGTCTTAAACAAAGGAATATTTGCCAACTTCTGCTTGGAGCATGTGGTGTTAACACCACACAGTGGAATCTTATAAAATCACAGACTGTTGCCACACACATTTTATCAGGACGATACTGATCAACAAACCATGAAATTTCAAATTATACCTTACTAAACATGCCTTGCACAAAAATTATTACAGTCATGTGTAGGGTGTGGACACAGGAACATTCTGTGTCAGCTTGTCACATATTTTAATATATATGTGTACCGTTTGGGTGGTTTTTTCTACTGTTTAAAACCCTCTTATCAGGCTGTGCTAGCTCAAGCAGCTAAATGGAATCTTTCCCAAATTTCCAAAAGAATTTGCCTCTGGTCTGAACAAACATGAGACATTTCATCCCAAAGGAGTTTTAAAAAAAAAAAAGAGAAAGTTAAGCATCTGAAAATAGGAATTGAAGCGTTCTCAGCCATAACTGCAGTGTTGCTACTTTGGTGCTATAAGGAGGAATTAGTGGGTTTCCTTCTTCCTGCTACTTCCCAGTATTTTTGGGGACAGGGTGCTGCTGTTCAGCTGACTTCTGGTGTTCAGTACAGCATTTTGTTGCTGGATGAGACTCCTTGGCCATGTAAAGTTGTGTCTTATTCTGCTCTTCTTGTGCCATAGATGATCCGATTATGTGGCTATACTGGTGTATCACTGGCATCTGCATTTTACTGGTGGGATCAATCATAGCTGGTGCTATTTACATGACCCGAAGACAAGTAGGTAAGGATGATGTCAGCTGGGGAGTGAGACTCAGAGGCACGTTTATGCCGCTCCCTCATTTCTCTTCATTTACTTCCCTGAATCCTTGTGTGATGCTCTGCGGTCAGGGAACTGCCAGTACAAACTTTTCCTTCAGCCCACTGTAAGGTGTTTTGCTTTCTGGTCTTTGAAGGGCACAATCTAAAAACATAATTCAAATTTCTTTAGATTTGATCATGTATTTTTTTCTCTTTCAGGCCGCCAGCACAGGAATTATAGCAGCCATGGTAAGAGATACTTTCTATGCTGTAGGAGAGTCCCTTCATGCTGCACATTCTAGGAACCTGCCTTAACTGCCCTTTGGAGTCTATACTAGGATTAATTTGCTATTGATGTTTCTTGATACCAAAAGATTGCTCTGCAACTTTAAAGCTGTTCTCTTTAACCAAAAGGGACTTATGGGACACTAGCAGCCTTGGACAGAGAACAACCCAGGTGTGAAGCTTTTGCCTTCCCCCAGGGGGCTGCTGCTTTATCTAATGAAATCCTTTAGAAACTATGGATCTGCAAATGAGATGAGAATGGACTGTGACTACATTTGTCCATCTGTGTGTCCTAGAGCTAAGCTTGATTGCTTGGGGACCTGTCAGGACAGGGAGCTCAGCTTTCGCTTGCGGGCTTGAAGGAGGGCTTTTAGAGTTGCTTGGCTTTTTCACTAGAATAAAATGGTGGCTGAGAGAGCGCTCTTTCTTTTTTTTGCTTGTGGTAGAACATCAGGAGAGGGAGGAGGGACCATGTCTCTGGCTTTGTGGAGATTGGATCTTGCCATGTTGTATTTATCTGTCTGGTGTGTCCTTGGTCAGCTAATTGCTTCTGGATTACCCAGATACTGCTTCAGCAAATGTTATTGGAATGAACAATTGTACTCTTTTCACCTTTTTTCAGAGCTGTTACCTCCACAGCTGACTCCACCATCCCTGAGGCCCCGGAAGGTTTGGATTGTGTACTCTGCTGACCACCCACTCTATGTAGATGTGGTACTGAAATTTGCCCAGTTCTTGATCACAGTCTGTGGTACTGAGGTAGTCCTGGATCTGCTGGAAAAGCGTCAGATTTCAGAGATCGGGGCCTTACCCTGGCTTACTCGACAGAAAAAAGAAATGGAAGAACTATCTTCAAAGATCATCATTTTGTGTTCTCGGGGCACCCGGGCCAAATGGCAGGCTATGCTTGGGAAGGAGGGAACAGCTGTCTCTCTCAAGCAAGATCAAAGGCAGCCTACTGGAGACCTGTTCACTCCAGCCTTGAATTTGATCCTGCCAGACTTCAAGAAGCCAGCTTGTTTTGGCATGTACATAGTCTGCTATTTTGAGGGCATAAGTGAGGATAAGGATATTCCTGACCCGTTCAATGTCACATCCAAGTACCAGCTGATGGACAGGTTTGAGGACATTTACTTTCTGATCCAGGATATGGAGAAGTTTGAACCGGGGCGGATCCATCAAATCCAGGAGATCACCGCTGAAAACTACGCGGAAAACTCCAATGGCTGGAAGTTGAAGGAGGCAGTACAGACATTCCAGGAATGGCAGGCAAAGTACCCTGATTGGTTTGAGAGAGAGAACACCTGCTCAGAAGATGAGTCTCTGGACAAGGAAATACTGGAAGAATTCATGCCGGGTAATGGAGATGTAATTATAAAACAGCAGCTGCATGTTCAAGAGCCTGATCCCAATGGCTGTTGTGCAGTTAGCCTCCATGTGAATGAAAATGTGGGTGGAAATTTTAAACTGCAGCTTCAGCTTAATCCACAAGGGAATCCAACTTCCCAGACCCTGACAATTCCCATGGATGAGGCACCTCCAGTTCAGATGGTGGAGCCAATTTCTATTACAGGAGGTAAAAATGCAACTAGTCATCAGGTGCTGACCAACACAGATTGGATGGAAGGAATCCCTCTGCTGGAGACTAGTGTCCCAATGAGGAACAGCATCATCCTTCATGATGATTTTGATGTCCCATCATCAGACAACCAGAGATCTGCAGACCACCTCCCAAATGAAATGAGGCAGCAGCTGGAGGGGTTAATGTACTCTCTTTACCAGCAAAGCATCATTCCTTCTGAGCCATCTCTCCGTCAAGAAGATGCTGAAGAGCAGCAGCAGCAGGTGGCTTTCAATAACCCATGCAAAGATCAGAGACAGTCAGTGCAATCAGACCAGGGCTACATCTCCAGATGTTCCCCTTTGCCTCCTGATGATCTGGTGGAGGAAGAGGAAGAGGAGGACCAAGAACAGGAAAACAAGATGCCTTCTCGGTATCTCTCTCCAGAGGTCTTGGACAGTCTAAAGAGCCTCCAACAGAAGCTGCTTTTCCAGGAAATTCAGCAGAAATCTGTCTGGGAGCACATGGGTGGGATGATGGACACAGGTCATTGTGCAGCGGACTCTTAGACTCTCTGTCCAGGACCATCCCATTTGAAAAATAGGGCTGGAGGGTGGTAGTGTGTATAATTTCAGCACTCTTCTTCAAGCAGTCTCCTCGTCCTTGTAAAACAAGGGTCCTATGTTCTAATCAGTAGGAAATCTCTAACTGATGCATATCACCCGGAGGCGACTTGCCAAGTGAATACAGTATGGTCCACCTACCTATACCTCTTAGAACACAACTGTTACCTCCCAATCTATCTCTGAATGGAGGAAGATGACAGCAATGTTAGTCCCCTGCATGTGCTGTGGAGGAATTGGTACTAAATCTGTTACTCCATAAGAAATCTACCATGTGTAGAATCCACTGTGAACTAATTACAGGCACATTATTGTGGTCCATCAGGCTGCATCTCTCAGGATGCCTGTCACACCATCATTCCAGCTTATTGTAGAGGACTAAAGTCACAGTTATGGAGGAGAGGATAAAGACTCTGATTCTGATATCAGTTTATTAGCTAAGCTTTATTGTAAATGCTGTAGTAAGTAATTTATACCTCAGATCACAACCAGTGATGACTAGGGCCCTACCGAATTCACTGTCCATTATGGTCAATTTCATGGCCACAGGATTTGAAGATTGGTAAATTTCACATTTTCAGATGTTTAAATCTGAAATTTCAGTGTTGTAACTGTGGGGGTCCAGACCCAAAGCGATTTGTGTGTGTTGGGGGGGAGGGGTGTCGCAAACCTGTTGTAGGGGAGGTCTTGGGATTGCCATCCTCACTTCTGTGCTGCCTTCAGAGCTGGACTGTCCCTCCCCTGCACAGCCAGAGCTAGGAGCCCTCTTGGCTGGGGTGCTCCTAGCAGCACATGGCAGATCTGACACAACTCCACAAGCCTCCTCCAGCTGCAGGAACCTCTGGGGCTGCTGTCCAGTCCCAGAGAGCACCCTACAGCAGGTGGAGGCACCTGCAGCTGGGTCTGGTCTCTTCCCCACCCCCCCTCTCCAGAGCAGCTGTGCAGGAGGTGATGGACAAGTCCTGTCCCTCCCCTGCCCACCCAGAGCTAGGAGCCCCCTTTGCTGGGGCACTCCTAGGAACAAGGGGACATCAGATTTCACAGGAAAGGGCTTATTTCACAGTCCATGACGTGTTTTTCATGCCATTAAATTGATAGGGCCCTAGTGATGACAGATCCCAGTAGACCCACTTGTGGTGGTACCTGAGTGCTGGGATTGTCTAATGCATTACACACGTTGGCATTGCCGGACTTGCCTGGCCATTAAGCAGCATAGCAGGATGCTGAGCAATAATTGGGATGAACATTTGTAAGTGGGTAGTTTTGTCTCCTTGGCACTTTCCCCTCAACCCACGATGAGTGGAAGGCACTTGAAAAGCAGCAACGCCAAAAGAAATGTAAGCTTGGTGGTCAGAAAATGGGGTAGGAGCTTGCAGTGTAATTACAGCAGAAAAAAGAATGTGCTTTGGGGCTGCAGATGGTCTTCACATCCTAGATCAGGGAGGAAATGTGTTTTTTCTGTTGCACTGATAGTTCCAACCAGGATATTGTGTTCATTTCTGGGCATCTCAATATCAGGAAGATTTCAAATTGGAGATAGGGTGAGAAAAGCAGTAAACACAATTAAGGGTCTGAAAGACTGTTTGGAAGAAAAATGTAGTAGTAAACAGGGCTGTCAATCACATTTAATGGCTGTGATTAACTGAAAACAAAATTAACATGTTAAGCCTGTGGCAGGGAGCTGAAAAAGCCTCAGTCTGCAGCTCCACGGGCAGCAGGGGAAGGATTAAAGGAGCCCCAGAGTGCAGCTCCCCAGGCAGTGGGGGAGGGGTTGAAGAAGTCCCAGCCCACGGCTTCCCAGGTGGCAGGAGGGCTGGAGCCCTGTGCCCTGAGGGGGCCTGGGCAGCAGGTTGCATAGGCTGGGGGAGGCTCTGCCTCCCCAAACAGCCAGGCGTGGCCCCAACCCCTGCTTACCACTGCTCCCCGCATACTGCTCCAGCCCCCAGTGGTCTGGCTGGGGCCGCCTGCCTTCCCGCACTCTGGGGTGGGGCATGCTGCGGCCACCCGCGCTCTGGGACTGGTGGGGGCTGGGGCTGTGCACTACCCGCCTTCCCAGTGCTCCAGGGCTGGAGCCGCCCACCCTGCTGATGCTCCTTTGGGGCTAGGGGGCTAGCCTGGGGTGGGACTGGGATGGTGGCCAAGGTGGGAGGGGCTCGGCTCCAGTGGGGCAGGAGTGGGGCCTCAGGCAGAAGGGGTTGGGCTGAGGGCTAGCCTCCCCCAGCCAACGGTTCACACACTGCCCATGCAAGGGAGGCTGAAGCACCGAGTGGGGTGGAAACCCAGAGCCCCCAGCCCTGATCCTATATTTGAAAATATAGAAAACCCCCAAAAATATTTACATAAATGGTATTCTATTATTGTTTAATAGTGTGATTTAAACTGCAATTAATTGCAATTAATTTTTCTAATCACTTGACAGCCCTATAGTACGCATAGCTTGAACATATGTTGCCTAAGCGTGGGGAATATAACCAACAAGTGAGGGATGCTGGAGTGAAACCAATGTAAGATGATCTCTGGAGATGTAACTAGTATTAACGTAAATTTGAACAAAGGAAGTTCAGGCTAAACATAGAAAAACATTTCCTAGTAGTGGAGACTGCGGAGTTATCTCCCACAAGTAGTGCTGGAAACTTCATCAGTTGAGAGATTTCAAAACTGGTTTTAACAAACTAGGAGAACACTCTCTGTAGTGAACAATCCAGCATTGTCCCTTGTGGGATCAGCTAGATAGAAAAGTAAACCTATTTAAAGCTGGAGATTACCCCATGCACTGTGGTAGCTTGTTCAACTCAGCCAATCAGGGAATGGCTTTTTGAGGAGTAAAAGCCCCCAATCCAAACTGCATTTTTTTCCTCTCCCATTTTGGGATCATACAAGACTCCTGCCTTTCCACCTTGCTAATTGCACATGTTGGACAACAAGATGTAAACTTATGTCTTGCATTTACATGAAGCATTTGTTCATTCCTGAGATGGCTAACTGATTTTCTTCAGCCTATGCTGATTACATCTGAACAACTTCAAGTATTTTGTTTTTCTATGATTTATACATTGGCTTTTCAAATGAAAGTTTTGAGTAGCTATTACTCCACATTGCCATTTCTGCCTATGCAACCAATACAATGATGTATTTTTATAACTGATTGTATCTTGTTTTTTTCTAATTTTCTTTTTTAATTAAAGGAATAATATACTTTTAGAAGATGCTCACACTGAAATGATTAAAGGACCTAGAATGTCCTCCTTCATTTGATCTTCACCTATGCAGAACACTTCCCCCTTGAACGCAAAACAAAGCACTGAAGTATGAAATTGAGCCAGTCATTAAATGCCAAAATGTTCAGGAACAGGGGTGGCCACCTGGGACAAGGGAGCGGGAGGGAAACCCCTCATTGAAAGTTGTCTTCCTCACAACCATACTTGCCATCAGCAGTCAAAATTTGTCTGTGGGATTTGGTTGGCTGAATGTAGGACCATCAGCATCCGGAACTGTCTAGCTGTGCCTGTACAGCCCCAAAGCAGCAAACAGAAAAGTTCCTGCAAATAACAATGCCGGGGACCAGGAGCGGTCTTCATTTTATGTTTTGTATAGGACCAAACATGTGGGTTGGGGCTAAACAAATAAATAGCACTGGGCTCAACATGCTCTACGACCATTTAGCCCTATGGCCACTGAGGGAGAAATAAGTGTTACTGCTCTTAGAGATGGGGAAAGTAAGGTGCCGGAGGTGCCTTTTTTAATGCTTTTGCTTCATTGTAAGCCCATGAAGACTTCGCAATTACCTGTATGGTTTTTGTTTGTTTTGGTAAGTCCTTTTCAAGAAATATCTTAAAATGTGCTGAGCTCAGAATAGAAGTGCTGCCTGAACTGTGTTCTTGACTTGCTTATACTCTTCTCAAGTAGTTGTCCTTTTGGGTTGAAATTTCTCATTTGGCTCTGAGTGAGGAAGTGAAGGTTGAAGAAAATCCATTGTCGCTTTTAAGTAATCAAATGGGGAGGGCAAATAGTTTGAGTGAACGTTTTAATGTAAACATGCCCTGCAATACCCATATCAATACACTGATAAGAAACTCAAAGGGAAAGACACACACTTGGTCACAAATGTCTAATTTTATTTTAAGAACAATCTCATTTATTAAAAAATACAAACTCAGATTGATGCTAGTGGGGATGCCAAGCTGCCTTGTGCCACAGGCTGTATCTTTTCTCTAATTTCATTTTCCCCTCCCTCGGGTGATCACCTCTTACTGTTTGCTAGTCTCTTAAGTGAGGGGCATGGACAGAACAACCCCTCCCCTAACCAGTTGAATTCTGGTGCAGGGGTAATCTGCACACTTGTGTATGACAGAATGGATGCTTAGAGGCCTTTATCTTCATATGGTAGATTGTGTTTTAGCAAAATTATTCACTTAAGCCAATAATTAGTGTAGATAGATGTAGGCAGAGAAGGGGGCCTGCATAGAAGGTGGGGTGGGGACAATTTTCAAATGTGAATATACTCGCTCAGCAGAACCAGGTGAGGGGGTTAAAGAGAGGGGAGTTGCAGAAAGCTATGACAGGCTTAGAAACAGAAAAGAAAGGTAAGAGCTTTAATATTTAGGTATTGTTTCATAAGTGGTAATACAGCTGCCAATTTTGATTTCAAGGTGCTTCCGTCAAGTCAGATTGGCAAACATGCAGCTTTGTTAGTATAACTGCTGCTAATTAGGTTGGCAGTGGGAAGAGGTCAGGACACAATGGCAGGTACTAGGAACAACTCCATATACTAAAGAGAATAAAACTTCTACAGAGCAATCTATAGCAAAATATATATATATATTCTGGATCTCTTCAGTAGGCTCAACTCGACTGTGAATCAGAGAACAAATGTAACCTTAAGAGTAATGCACTGCTTATAAAATCTTGTCCTGTTGATACTAGATTTAAAAAAACCTGCCATCTGAATAGTTAAATGTCCAATATGCCATTTTCACACCAGTGTCTGTCTGGTGGGGGAAGGCACTTGCTATTGCAACAGCAGTTCCATTGCAATTGATATCTACGGTGAAGTAGTATCAAAGTCAGAGTTATATTAACAATTCTGCTGTGACTTCTACAGTCTGAGCTGTATGAATATGTGCTAGTGACTCAGGGGGCTAAATTCTTCATGTTTTGTATGTGAGTTTAGCATGAGTAAGAACAGCAAGGTTTAGTTCTGGCTAAGGCAGCTTTTCTCTCCATCTCTTTTTGGTAAATTGGTCTACTCTACAACGTGGCTGTTTGACTACAGGGAGTGGAGTACTCTTAGTTTAGGGTACTGATTCATTACTGTGTGAATGGTACGTTGGTTTGTTCTTTGAGTATGTTAGTTTTCTGTTTAATATTGACTATTTTGTTGGGGGAATCCCTATGTGCATGCAGGCACACCTGCCAGTTCATTCTTTTGGCCAAGAAGCTAGCATCCCCTTGACATATCTCAGGTCACAGAGGAAAAGTCCACAGTACTTAGTTTTACAATCACAGTCACTCACAGCACCAAGATTGTCCAGACAAATAAAAAGTTACTGAAGAGAAGGCCACGGGCCAGAATTAACAATTGCCCTTAACAAGCATTGTGTTCAGGGCTCAGATAAAAATAAAGCACTCATGGGAAAGTTAAGCCTAGTTCTTTGCAGCTATATCTCCCCCTGCCTGTTCTTCCCAAGCTAATTACCCTAGCAGCTGCAGCTCTAACAGATGGACACTTTAGACCTGCCCTTTCTGAGCCAGAGCTGGGGGGCTGCCATAGTGCTAGGGACAGAAGAGCCTAATGGCAATTATACAGTTCCACCTATGGGAAGCAGAGGGAAAAGTCCTCAGCCTGTAAACATTTTGTAATAACAGTGTCTTAGAGAGTAGGACATCTACCCTGCTCTGGGGGCAGGGAGGTAGTGGCAGCAGTTCTGGTTCTAGTGCCATGACTTCCACTGAAGTCCAAGGGTTGAAGGGAGGAATGTATGTACATGTATGGGGAAAGTCCCAAGTGTGGTGTATAAGTCCAGCACAGGCTTTGGATAGTGGTTGGTTGCACTTTGTTCCCTCTTCTAACTAGGCAGGATTGGATTATAACCCTTCCTCCAGGAATGCAGTCCTATCGAAGAGCTGTGAAGAGGAAAAGTTACCCTTCAAACCCTGGCTGGTCCTACTTCAGTTCTACTGGTTCCAGATGCAGCTACAGATGGGTAACGGGTCATGCCCTAAACTGGGCCAAACTGATTCATGGAACTTTAAAAATTAAGGACAGCTGCATTTCAACAAGACCAATAGCTTTACAATTGACTCCTCTACCCTCAACCCTTTCCCCCATGCACATGGAGAACACTGTGAGATACACCCTGGGACTCTTTCACAGGGAGCTCATTGTAGCACTTCACTTTCCATGTCTGCAAATTAAATGAGGTTCAGCACCTAGCCCACCCCAAGCAGCACCAAGATTCTCCTGCTGGGATAGAGGGGAACAGTTCACAGGCTGCATCCTCAGCTCTAGGGGTAGAGTGTCCACCTACCTACAGCCAATCTTCCCAGCCTGTCTGATCTCAATGGAGAGTGCCCTTATTATCCACATAAGAAATAAACACTGATCCTTAAAACATGCATATCCACAGAAAAACAAGACCCCCAACACACAGATGCTGCTGCTTGAACAAGCAGTTGACCCTGTTCTCACCGGAAATAAACATCTCAATCTGGAGGGGCTTTAGGCCTTGGGCCATGTCCGTTTCGGACTCACTTGTGTCTTTAGCATATAAAGTGAGCACAAGATGCAACAAGATTCAAGCACAGAGGTAGACATTTTCAACAAGGGGAAGGGTGGCTCCCAGGATGGATCCCCTTTACATTTGCTGGTCACCACCCTATTCTGAGAAACTCCCCCAATTGGGGGTTCAAAGTCTCTTCCTCATTTCACCTCGGTGGGTGGAAAACAGATGGTACTTTTGCAGGATACAAGCTTAAAAGCAAACCTCCTCTTTGTGGTCATGTACATGCAAGGAGCCAGGTCTCATCACCACTTAGTCTCTGCTAAAGTCTCTCATCATGACCATCAGGAGCTGTCAAAACTGTCCACTGGTCTCCATTACTTAGGTGCTGAGGAATAATGAAGAAACAATGAAACCCCCGTTGCCACTGAGGACATGATGCAAACATGATATGGCACACACTTTCCTGGGAAAAGCTTCTGCGTTATTCCCTAGGGATAGTAAGTATGATCTCTGGGTAGACTCCATTGATGGATTTGTTCAGGGAAAAGGGAAAGAGAAATGAGGTGTTAAACTAAAAAAAAACCTGTGTCCCTCACCTGCTCTTAATTGCAATGTCAGTGATGTGAGGACCCTGAGCAGCAGGCAGAGCAGTTCTGCCAGGGAGATGAATAACTTCCCCTAGTGTAATGGCAGTATTGCTCTGTGACTTTCAGCTGCATGGGGAGCAGCTTTGCCTGTCAGGAGCAAAGGACTGGTACGGAGAATCCGACCAGTTTCGAGTGGTAGGTAGGTAAGGCAGGGGATGGTTGGGGAACCTCCCTCTACCCTGTGATCTCCGGGAGGTGGGTAGCCCCCTCTTTATTCCCCAGTCCCCATAGGCAATAGTGTTAGGAGGCCTCTCAGAGACAGGGGAAGAGTAAAGAGAACCTGACCAGCTCCCAAGGCTGGGAAGGAGGCAGAGGCGTGTGGCTCTCCCCTGTCTGTGCAAGGAAGTTGAGTTCATGAGGGTGGCCAGGGAGCAGGTTTAGTTGGGTAATTTCCCTCTCCCCTCAGTTCTGGAAAGTCGAGCTCACAAGATTAGTAAAAGGGTAGAATTTAGGGGGCAAGGATAGGTATGGGGATAACCTCCTTTCCCCTCAGCACTATGTGACCAGCCATAATACTGGTACAGAAGCAAGGAGGTTGGTAGTAAGTGCAGAGGTCAGTGCTGGTTATGTAGACGCGAGGGCTTGGGGTATGGGTTTGAAGGGCAAGGGATGGAGGTAAGGTCTGGTAAAATTAAGCCCTCTGTCCATCCCCACTGCTTAGGGTTAGGTGTTACTAGGTGGCAAAGTGGGGTTGGAGGGGGCAGGTGAATAGAGCAGTAGGCTGAGGGGGCAGGGTTACTGGGTGCCGGTAAGTAGGGGTGAGAGGAGGGTTCCTGGCCGGGGAGGGGAGAGAGGTGGGTGGGGGCAGGGGTCGGGCGGCTCCACGGCCCCCCACCCCCGCTCAGTTCTGGGCGCTGACCGCCAGGGTGTTGACGTAGCCGTGGGGCCCCATGTCGTTCTCGGAGATGCAGTGGCTGAGCTGGGCGGCGCCGGGGCCCGGGCCAGGGGCCGCGCTGTACTTGGCGCCCCCGGCGGCGGGGCGGAGCAGGCAGCAGGTCTCCATGGCCTCGAGGCTGCGGCAGGCCAGGAAGAAGAGGTTCTTGAGCATGAAGATGGAGAGCGGCTGCTGGTAGCGCAGCAGCAGGAGGCAGCGCAGGGCGAGCAGCGGCGCGTCCAGCAGCCCGGCGGGCAGCAGCAGGTGCAGGGCCAAGCGGGCGGCGCCGGGCGGCCGGGCGGCGCTGAGCTCGTAGAGCCAGAGCACGGGCGAGGCCAGGCAGAGGAAGTAGACGGCGATGAGCAGGTAGCGCAGCGGGCCGGGCAGCGGGGCCGGGCGGCCGGGCTGCAGCACCAGCTCCAGCAGGGTGAAGCTGTCCAGCAGGTCGAGGCAGGTGGCCAGGAAGGCGGCGGCCGCGCGGTGCTGCGGCGGGGGCTGGGGCGGCAGCAGCAGCTGGCCGGCGCCGTCGGGGCCGATGGCCCGCAGCAGGCAGTAGAGCAGCGGGGCGGAGAGCGCCAGGGTGACGCGGAAGCCGGTGGTGCCCAGCGGCAGGCGCAGCTCGATCAGCTCCAGGATGGAGGTGCCCAGGATCAGCGCCGCCTTGGGGGTGAAGGCGATGGAGTAGATCAGCCAGGCCAGGTGCGCGTAGGCGAAGTCCCCTCCCCGCAGGGGGCCCCCCAGCCCGGCCCGCGCCCCGGCCGCCGTGCGGGGGGTGCGAGCAGCAGCGGGTGCAGGGGCGGGGGCGGAGGGTGACCCGGCGGGGGGCGCTCCCGGCGCCGGGCCCGGCTGTTGCGGCAGAAGAAGATGCCCCAGCCGGCCGCCAGCACCAGGTCGGTGGCGATCCAGCTGCACCAGTAGAGGTCGGTGACGGCGATCAGGTAAAGGTCCAGCAGCGCGCCCTGCCCCAGCAGCAGCACCAGGGACAGCGCCTTGTAGCCCCAGCGCGACCCGCCGGAGCCCCCGCCCGGCCACAGCAGCCCTCCGGCGGTCGCCGCCGCCGCCGCCGCCGCCCCGGCCGGGCCCGCGCCCCCGTACAGCTCCCCCGCCGTCATGCTGCAGCCCGAGCTGCTGCTGCTGCTGGAGGCCGGGGAGGAGGCGGCGGGGGCCGGGGCGGCCGGGGCCGGCACCAGGGGTTTGCTGATGCTCTCCTCCTCCTCCTCGCCCCCGCTGCTGCTGCTGCTGCGGGCCCGGGCCGAGCCCGAGCTGGAGCCCGACACGCGCCGGCTGCGGCCGCCCAGGAAGAGGGGCTGCAGGTCGGCGGCGGGGTGAGCGGGCGGCGGGGCGGCGGCTGGAAGGAGCCGGAGGAGGAGGAGGAGCCCGAGCGCTGGTTGGAGACAGCTCGGTGCATTGTCCTCCCCGGCCCCAGAGCGAGGGGCCCGGGCCCCGGCCGCGCCCCCCGGCCGGCGGCACCGAGGGTTTGGGCCAGGGGCTGGAGCGGGCCAGCGAGAGCGGAGTCCCGGCCTGGATCCGCCGCAATCCCGGAGCTGCTCCACGGGCGAGAAGCGGACTCCGGAGAAAGCAGCGGCGGCTCCACGCGCGAGAGAGGCGGGGAGCTGCGAGGGGACCCGCGGGGGGCGGGGAAAGGCGGAACGAGGAGACTCCCCGAGTGAGTGGCGGGGAAGCTGAAGCAAGGCTGAGCCTTCTCCGGCAGCTCGGGTGGGTGGGTGCGTGGGCTGGAGCGGAGAGAGGCTGTGCAGCCCGGAGCAGAAGTGTGTGCTGAGCCCAGGGTCACAGCCTCAGCCCCCGGGGAGAGGAACCCCCCACCTGGCTGGGCTGGGAGCACAAACGCTGCAAATTGCTCCCCTTGGTCTGTAATGAACACCAGGCCCAATCCTCAATTAGCAAATGCCTCCTCCCCCTGACTGCATACACGTGCCACTGCCAATAGGTACCCCTGTCACTAGGGCTGAGATCCCATAGCCACATGACAATAGACAGACAGCGGAAGTCCCTAGTGCCACGGCTAGGGCCTTAAGAGCGCCACAGGGTTATTATTGATCTGGTGCAGCCAGGTTGACCGCATGACCACTGCCAGCCCATGACTGGCCACTATCCCCTACTGACCTCAGTCTGATCTTCAGCGCTCAACATGCAGGGACTTTGTCTCCAAGGAAGGCAACTGACCAAAAAGGCCTGCCGGTGGTGGCCAAGCATGACTTCAAGCCTCTTGAGGCCAGTTCTCAATGCTACATCCCTATTACTGATATAGAAAGTCAAACCATCTTATACCCAGTAGTCACTGCTGGCAATGCTTATGAAATAACTCTAGCCTCCTGCTATATTGTTTAAGCGACGTCCATGTTTCAGATCCATATAAGAGGGTCGGAAGTACACAGGGTTGATAAATCCATGTTGTTTCACCTTCTTTTGGTGCCAGACCCTAGGCAGGTCCTTCCTAGCTGAGGCTGCTAAACCAATTCTCCTTAAGATATCTGTGCTCATTGATGATAGTTTACTGCCTGACTGGATGAAGTCAGCCAATAAGTCTGTTAGTCTTTAAGGTGCCACCGGACTCCTTGTTTTTGTGTATACAGACTAACATGGCTACCCCCAATACTATTTCCAGTTTGTCTGGGAGTACAGATGCTTTCTATCACAATTTTTGCACCAACATGCTGCATTTTTGTTATTGCCCAAGAAATCCTTAGCCCAAGGGCAGCTGCCTCTTCTGGAAGCTTTCTAGTGCTTTGAGATCATTTGTGTCCTGACCAAAGATGGTAACCCAACATCAGCCGTGTCAGTAAAAGAGCTTGAACTGATTGTTGGACTGATATTTGGTTTAGGTTTGACACTAGAGCTGGGTTGAAGCAGGGATGTGACCTGGTCCCCAGCCTTGTTCTGCTGTACAAAGGATTGGCGCCTTGAACATATCACTGCAAATATTGGTATAACTGTCAGAGCAACCACATGACAAGCTTGTCTTAAATTACTTGTATAGCCCACAGGCACTCTGAAATCTGTCTGGAGCAATGACCCACCCCAGCTTCTGCTGCATTTGCTCATAGGTGAAGGGAAAAAGAGGGCACCTTAGAGCTGCCAGGCAGTGGTTTAGTGGTTACAGAAAGAAGTGAGTCAAATAAACTCCATATTTCCCAAGTAAATAGTGGGTTTACCCGAGTTTCTCCTCCCTACACGACTGCTGCAACATTTCATTTGAAGACACACGATAAAGGATTTCACCTAGCTCAAGCCTCCTTAATGGAAGGCCAAACTCAGTTTTTCTGTCCAGAAAGTGAGCAGGTCTTGCACACCACATTCTGCCCCTCCCTCCATGCTCTGTTTTGCGCTAATATGTATGTTTTTTCTTTGTGTAGCCCCTGCATAGTCACACTTATGGGGATTGACGCCTCCTACTGTGGAATCTTCTGGCCTGCAGTGGTCATTGGGCCCCTCACCCCTCCACAAAACTACCCAGGGTGGTAAAGGGTGGCGATGTCCCCAACCACCGCTCAGTTTCTTTGTAACCGCTGAAGGTGCAGTGAGCTGACACTCTTCCTCATCAGTTTTCTTTCTTTCTTTTCTTCTGCCCTCTTAGGACTATTTTTGGTCTAGTTAGTTAGCTTGGCAAGTACAGTACTACAAATTTCTTTATCTAGACAAAGAGGAAATGTTACCCAGCCAGCATGAGTAGCATCTGAACCCACAGATGCAGGAGGACCACCTCACAAACCCTTATGGTTGAGGGAGGCTCCCCAGGCCCATTCGACTAAGTCTGGCAATGTGTAAGTCCAGCATAGGCTTTAGAGGTCTAAGTGCTTAACGAGCTTAAGTGGCTGTGTCCTTGGCTTAAACAGTGGCCTGGTTCCTGGATTTTATCCAGCTGACTGAGCCTAGCACTCAGATTCTGGCACAGTCAACACAGCCCCAGATTCCTCTGGGGCATCATCGCTTGGTGCCAAGGTGCCTGTACCAAAGACATGGCAGCAAAGTATCCAGCTCTATGCAAGCTAGTGCCAAGGTTCTGACATCATTGACTCTAGTGAATCAGAAGTCATTGGGTGCACAACATGAGTGTCACTAAGGTCCCCAGATCCATCCAAGCTGAGTCCAGAGCCAAGTGGTTCACCATGATCTCTGGTGAACCACTTGATGAAGTGGTCTGCCGGTTATATACGGCATACTGAGATAGTTCTGGGGACACTGAGTCAAGATTTTGGCATTAGTGACCAGTATACCACTTGCCTGAAGTGTCCAGCATCAGTAAAAGTGGTTTTTAGTCCCTAGATGTTTGGGATCCTCAACTGAGATAAAGGACACCAGTTGCTTGGGATTACTGGTGAGTAGTGCTTTTCCTCAGCCATGCAGCAGGTGAAAAATTGCTGCCTATAAGATGACATTGGCAGTATATCAATCACTTATTTTAATGAGACAAACTCTGTTATATCAGGCCAACTAGTTACGAGTATCCATCTATTAGCAGCAATTTTAAAAAGGGAGCAAACCCTGGTATCCTGAGCTCTTGTACCTCAAATGTCAGCATCGTCATGCAGGTATCTGTATTCATGTTGTAGCTGAACTTTGGTCCATAAACAGATGCCATAATAGTGTAACAGGGTAATACCTTTTATCCAGGTTGTGTCTGTGGCCACCATATGACTGATTATAAAAGATACCACCAATTCTTGATAGTACTTATACCTGAGATACTTATGGTTCTGGTCATTCAAGATGTAAAAGGCAAAAGTAACACATGCTTATCATGGAATTCATAGAATCATAGAATATCGGGGTTGGAAGGGACCTCAGGAGGTCATCTAGTCCAACCCCCTTCTCACCTCCCTTAAATCAAAAGTATTATTTCCAGATCGTGGACTTGGATGGTCACTTTGTTCGCTAGCCTTTTCAAGGTTTGTGGACTCTGTAGAATAAACTATGTCCAGGCAGATTCTTTGAACAATTTTGTACACTGACACAAATGTCTTAGTTAGCTCTCAGTTGGGCATTATGTGTGCTGTAAGGGGCGAAAGTCTCACCTGAGTCTCACAATTGTCTCCAGTTCTGAGAGCAAACATGAGACAGTGTCGTACTTTGACTGGAATCAGGAGAACCTCTGTATATTCCCTCCGATCCTGTTGGTTCAGGAGCTCTGCAGTTCAGATGGGATGGAGCCAAGGTTTTGTCACTAACCATAACTATTCTTGGCAGCATTGTTTTCAGATAGCCTAGGTATAATGTTAGCACCGCTGTCTAATGTATTGGATCTTTGCCTTCAGATTAGGGTAAGTTTACCCACCTGAGCATGAATTTTCTCAGATTGACACCCTGACTTTTGTTTCGCTGACAGGCTTGATGATGATTCTTCAGAAGTCTACAGGGTCCTATTGAAAAGCAAGAGCTTTCGACCCAATAAATCTCTCTTTATTGCTTTTAATGTTGCTAGCTATTATACTTTGAACAGTGAGACCTGTGTATTAGTTCTACCAGTTGCATGGGTTGTGAATTCAGCTGCCACTCTGAAAATCTCGGGGCACCAGTCCTCACCCACTATGCAATAGTTTATGGACGGGTTGCTCCATATACCACTAGTGTTGCTGGAGGTAATTGTGTTGTCTTGATGACTGCACCAAAGGCATCTGGATGTTCTCAGCAATGCACTTGGCTGTGCTATGGGTACCATGTGTTGGCTATATTCATTTAGCTACCTTGAAGGTATTGCCTCCAGTGCATAGATCATTTTTGCCTTTTGATTGGAGATTTGTTTCCCAAAGCTTTTGGGACTTGTGGTCTGCTATTGATCAGAGCATCATCTGTCCCATATACCTGGCTACTATGAGGAACACTCCAATTACCATTCTGGGGGTAAGTAAACAGGAAGACTAAAAAGGTGGTACTAATAAGAGACCTAGTGAAAACCCTTGTGCAAGAGGCTGTTGGCCAAGGACTCAGATCCTTTTGTTACTCAGTTCAGCCGAGGTACTGCGTACATAGAGAAATTCCCCTACTACGGTGGGCCAAATCCCCTGCTTATATGTGGGAAAAATAGAAATGGCATTCTCAATCTCAAAAAGCAAAATACATCTGTGGTCAAATCCTTGAGCACTGCAGGATGAAATACAATGAGCTGTTTCCCTGGTGATCCAGTATATCACAAAATGCCTGGTGCAGCACATGGAGATGGTAACAGTTAAAAGCAAGCAACAGTAGCAATGAAGCACATAGACTAAATTTTAAATAACCTCCATGCCTATCTCCTCCATTTTCAGCAACTTTAAAAATAATGGCTAGGGTGTCTGATTAAAACTGATACCAAACCCAACTGAAGCCAACAGCTGCAAGCAGGTTTTAATAAAATAGATATTGCAACTGCCTCAAAATTACCGTGTTCAGGCTTCACAATTATTTGGGAAGTAGGAAGCAGAGGGCCCCACAAGCCCTCCCCCTCTCCCCCATCCCTCTTTAGTGGGAGGGCCTGGCTTTGGCAAGGGGCAATTGTTTTTGGCAAAATTCAAGAGGAAACAAACTAGCTGTTTTACTTCTGGGAAATTA